TAGATTCATAATCGCGACAACTGTTTGTGTACTTAATTCGGTGGTGAAATAGTTGATTTGATTTTGGGTAGAATTTGTTCATGCTTGATTTTTGATTTTCAAAGAGCGTCGAAATCTATGGATTGATAATGGCAACAATTCTTTTTGTTCTTAACTTTAGTTTTCGGTGAAACAGTAGGTTTGATCTCTGGGTAGGGTTGTTCATGCTCGAATTGCATTTGAAAAAAATGGATTGAAAATTATTTGCACTAAATTCTATGTTATGTAGTATAGTTTAGTATACAACTTTAAAATTATTTGCACTAAATTCTATGTTATGTAGTATAGCATAAAAAACGCAAGTTTGTTCTATGTTTGTACAAGTGGTTTTGTATGAAGGCCAAAATAGTCATTTTCTTTAGGTTAGTTGTAGTTTTTTTTATTATATTTATTACATGGCTATTACACTAATTATATTTCAAAAGTTTGCTATTTGGCTAATTGATCCTAAATTAATTAGTTAGTGATTATAATGTTTTAATTGCTTTCTTGCAGCGTATCAGGGCTGTGGAAATTGTAACTACACTCGACATCACGGGTCCGGGGCAAAGGCAAATCGAGCATTGGAACTAGCTGCGTTGAAGACCCGTAACGCGAACATGCAGCGTAACAACAACTATTGATTCGATTAGAGTTCGGGTAGTCAAGTGTGTTTGATATATTGTTTCTTACGAATAGACAAATACATGCGAAATAATCAAATTAGAAAATTTGAAAAAATATTTCTTTTAACTTCTTAAATTTGAAAAATACCTCTTTTTTTTAAAAAAAAAATACACTTTATTAAATTTGAAATTACTAAAATATCCTCATAAAATCTTACCAACAAATTATATATTTTAAATAAAATCTATTTGTTGTGATAAATTTATTTATATATATATCTATTTAGTCTAAATTTTAGTTTTGATTATATCTTTTACAAGAATTATTGTATATTTCATTTGATATATATTATAGGAAACCTTATTTAACATTTATCTGAAATAATAATTTTACAAAAAAAATAATTACTATCAATATGCTAGAAAATATTTCTTAAACGATCCAATTAGAAGTTTTACATAAAATAAGGAGAAGCCCAATAAATATTTCATTAAATGTCATATCAACATTAGAAGTTTTTGACTTTGTTTCAAAAACTTGATATTCCTCTTTATATAAGAAACGTATGATATTATTTTAAATAGTTTATAATATAATAAATGTTAAAGATAAACATCACATATGACAAGATATTTATC